GACACAAGATTTTTCTCAGGTGAATCATATTTTAAGCAGTGTAGAGGAAAGAAAGGTATCCATGCTCTGGTTTGCAACGCAAAGGATCACTAGACATTAGTGCATTAGATCCTAGAGAGCAACCAGAACCATACCACTTAAAAATAAAGAGCTAAAACAAGACCTAAAGAGCTAAAACAAGAGCTAAAACAACGCCTAAATTTTATTTTCCCTGCACCACCCCCCTTTTTCTTCATTCCTCCCCTCCATGCTTTCCCACCTCATGATTTTGGCCACAACTGCATCGCTGCGTGGTCTTCATTTCAAAGGCCAACTCAATGGGATTTGAGAAGTACCAGAAGAGCCATGAACTGAACATTTATCAGATCTCTGCCAATTTACATACCAAAGATAACTCCGTCAATGGCTGATTTCTGCCCTCCTTCCTCATCCAAATAAGTAATCTTCTAAAGTCATGGGCAGAGAAGCTCAGTTTATTTAAACCATCATATTCTCTTCAAAAGGGAACCCAAAGGAGCTAGGTGGCTGTCCCCTGCACTGCTGATACTAACTCAGAAATAGTGTCCTGGCAATGTCCGAACAGTTTCCTCAGCTCCTGCATACGCTTAGTGCAGCTACAAGCACTGAGAATATCCAAATCACACCGTCCCGAACCCTGCACAGGCAAGAAAATGCAGCAGAAGACCTCCTAGCTCCTTCCTGTCTCGGCTACTTTGCTTCTTGGAGCATAAAAACAAAAAACAAAACTCATTTCCCATGCCTTGGGCAGAACCTGCAGTATTAAAGGTATTTTTTTAAAAGAGGAGAGAGAAAAAAAAAAGCATATGAGCAATGTAATGGAGTTTGAACACTTCAAGCTTAGTTTTACCTCTCTCCCTATGCAGCAAGCCAGAAGCATCCGAAGGAAGCAGTAATGGGGCATTCAATCCAAAGAAAACATTCATGTGATACCTCCCCTATCAGCAACAACAACTTAGTCAAGTCCCAAAGCTGCAAGGCTGGGTTTTTTATGGGCAGTCACATCAAGCTGAAATTTCTGTCAGATAGATCAGAGTCCTACAGAGCCAAAATCCAAAGCACTAAAAGGTCTTCATGGACTGGAAAGCTCTCTATATTTTAAACTTTTACGGTATGCACGGTTGTGAGAACATTTCCAAATAACTGTGATTTATTTAATACTTAATTCTAAGAATTATCACTTTTCTAGAGGAAAACAATCACAGAAGGATTTTGAGTATTTCCACTTCAAGAATGATGTCAAAGGGAGGCAACTTTGTTATATTATATAATTGTTCAAAATTTAGGGAAGAGGTTTGTTGCAACTGTTATTTAAATACACTTCCTACTCAAAATGAAAAAAATACATCTTTGGAGGAGACTGGGTATATCAAATAAGAGCACTACATTTAAAGACAGTGATCTTTACAACAACAATTTTTAAGTCTTTAACACTCAAATAACATGGGGATGGAGCAACATATCTGCTCTATTTGGTAGAGATGCCATCCAATACAATAAAAGCTAAATGCATATGAAATACTGTTGGATATTTTCTTATTAAGATGTCAGAGGGAACCACCAGGACACACTCATTAGGAAAGCTGCCAATAACAATAATTTCAGTAATTTTTATCATCAGGCGAAGATGCAATCATTTAAAAACCAACATGATTATTTTTCAAGTCATCTTCAAAACTCCAAAACAAGTCAAATACGGTTTTCAAAATGAAGTTGAACCACTGGTAGTTAGGCTAACAAGCTAACATGTATTCGGATCACTTCTCATCTTCCTGGTTGACAAGACAGGTGAAATAACTCACACAGTTCAGATAAAATATCCTGGACATTGTATTGCCTTGCCACACAAAGGTGGTGCCTCTGACCATTTCCAGAGGTGCTAATAACAAAGAAGCATTTTTCCACTTAATAAGTGCACTGGTTCAATATGATTTCTGAACCATTCAAGATAATATGACTTGCTGTTTTTTTTCTTCCATCAGGATGCTTCAGAAATACTGCCTGTACATTACTATGTACATCAAGGGAAAAAACACGATGGACAGGGACTGAGCTGCCTGTGAATCAGAAAACAACACTCTTTTCTCTCTCCCAGCAAACGCTCTCAGATTGAGCAAACAGTTGCCTAATTATTTACTGTCACAGCTAAAGGCATGGTGAGCAGACCGAATTTGTAGATACACAAATGCTTCTGTTTCATCGGCAACCAAGTTCTTGTTTTCACATGATCCTGAAGATCTGTGGCCTGTTTTGGCTATATATACAGAGGAGAGAAGACGGAAACTTTGTTTTTCTACATTTACATAGGGCTGTTTGCCTAAATCAAATGGCACAAATGTCTTAATGATGCAGCATCAGATGATTCCAAGCCTTCCAAGACGGGCAATGAATTTTGTACAGCTGACCCTGCTAGTTACAGTATTCAACAGCTGGGACATAGATAATTTGGCACCCTCGTAATGCCCTCAGTGACCACAAGAGCATTCTGCAGACTGTAAAAGGAAAAAAAGAAATATATGTATAGGTATATAGCATTAAAACTATCTATTGGAGCTCATCTTACAAACACAAGTGAGGATGTTACGCATTCGATAGAGAAAATTAACGAAGGCAATGTAATCAAAACTGAGAAATGCAGAGCAATGGCACTCCCTCTTCAAAGCATATATTGTAGCAATTCTTTTCTGGTTAGATCAGCTCCCATAGCAAGTCAGCAGAGCAACAATCGCTGCAGTGAAGTCATCCTGCTGGGGCTCTGATAGGAAATCATGAGCGGCTTGGAAACACATTTTGGAAAATAATGCGTTTTCCAGGTTTCCAATAGATCATAATTAAAACAAGTCCAAATTTTTACCTTCTCCCAGTGATTGAATAAAGTAAATCTGAAGCTGCAGAGCAGAGCATACCAAAGCAGTGAATACAACACTAAAAATGAGAGCAGCAGCAAGTGGGTGCCTTTGAACAATTTTGGGATTTTGCTGTCATTGAGAACAGCACGTTAATGCACCTGATGCTTTCCCCCATAAGTAATGTGATAAATTTCTAAAACTCAGTTACATCTTCTTTAGAAATAAAACAAGTTCTGAAAAATATTTCAGTTTAATTAAAATACATTGGCATGCCAACAGTTTAAAATGCCAAATATTTTGCTCCTTATCCTGGTAAAACTCTCACTGAAATAGGGGAAATTAGGCCTAATACCTGCCTACCTACGTAGGCTTTAAGTAAGTACATAAACTGATATGAAAACGATCTTTATTAAACATGACAGCCTACTCACAAGTTTATTTTTAAATCACAGATAATCTAAAGCAGAAGAGCAGTATTTTGGATTAGAACCAGGACAGAAAAATAAAATTTGCTCACTGCTTTTATTTTAAGCAAGTCTCCTTGCTTTAAAATTGTGCAAAAATTAGCTCACCTACACGTAATTACCTTAAAAGACATAAAAATGTCCCTTTCAAGATGATCTCTTACGAGCCACAATTACACCTCATCTAAAACGCCCGAGCACATTTCGGTACGGCACGAGTGCACACGCTCCCCGCCGCACCAAAACAATGGACAGCAGACACAAAGGAGTCATTAGTCCATCCTGCTAATGACACATGGCACCGGAATCGCACGTGAGACAGGTAGAGGGTCGTCTCAGCCTCGACACATTCTCACGTCAAAGTAACCACAAGTTTGGTGGAGGTATTTTTCCCCAAAAAAATACTGGGAATAACACACATATGTGGATCAAATGAAATCAGCTATCGATGCCCTCCGATCCTGCTGTCTTCGACTCTGCCACTCCCATTCCCATCGATGGGAAGCATTTAGCAAAAACGTCCACGGGTGCCTGGAAACCCAGCGCTGAAAAATTGCACCTGCGCTAAGGAAAAGGTCCTCTCTAAAGCCCAGCCCACCTTTACCCCAAATATCTCAGGAGGGCTCAGCGCGGCTAATGCTAAATACGCTGCCAGAACTATTCTGGCAACGGAGGCTCAATCCCAGCAGTGAACGCCACCGCTTTGCCGCTTTAATTAAAATCAGACCCTGAATAAATGTGACCGACAAGCAGGGATTTCACACGGACGCATCATGAACCGTGTCCCCCCAAACGCCTCCTGTCCCAGTTACAGAGGGCAGTGCAATCCGCGGCTGTCATGAGAAATCCAGTCGCCCCCGCGCTGCGTAAAAACCGCTTTCGTCCCCGTCCCCCATCCCGTCCCACCCACGCGCTTTTTCCTGCGCGCATGTGGGCGCAGGGAGCCCCGCGGCCCGGGGACGAGGGCGTCCCGCGGCGGTACCTTTGTAGCGCTCGAGCACGTCCTCGTAGGCCTGCAGGTATTCCT